GTTTTCGACTGATTTGTATCGATCATGCGAGAAACACGTAAAGGAACTCGTGGCCAAAAACACAAAAATCAAAACTCACCGGCGGCTCCTCTGGTTCACGTTGTGGTTTGGTATTTGTCCCGGTTACCTGTAGAGAATGACACAGTGATCACAATGGTGAAAAATTATACAAAACAGGAATCGAGAAAGGTCTCATGGGAGACGTTTTGTGAAATTCTCTGCGGCGGCAGCGTCGGACTTCGCCGGCATTTTTCGATCAATTGGCCGGTATTTTTGCTCTGGTTTGACCATGAGTGTACTTAAAATTTAATTTTGAGCAAAAGGGAAAGTTTTTTTACCTTTTTTGGTTGTCGTAAAGGGTTCCGGTGCGGCGGCGGTCTCCTTCCCAGTGGCCAGGTCTTCTTCTCCAGCGAGGGTTTCTGGCGGCTAGGGTTAGGGTTTGGTGCTAATGAGAGTTATTTATATCTGTCCGCTTTTGATCTGGGTCGTCCATCGCGTTTGATCTGGACTGTCCGATTGTGATTAAATAGGGAGTGAATATGAACCGTCAATCGTGATCCAATCTGGACCATCTATCGCGATCTAATATAAACCGTCCGATCACGTTTGAATGTGGCTATTTGATCGTGTTTGGGAGGGAGCGCATCCAGGCCATCCTTGCGCGCAGGAACGGACCTGGGCCGTTTGATCGCGGGTATACGAATCGCCCTCGTGGCTCCCCGTGTGGCACCGCATCAGCGCCCGTTGCCACGTGGCGCGTTCTGCTTCGTCGGGACTGCTGACCGGACATCATATGTGATAATTTTTTTAAATTACATTTTGACCTTTGATTTCTAATTTTTCTTTCAAAAATACTCATAGAATCTAAATTTTTACCCATTTTATCATAAATTGCTTTCAATTTCATCCTCAATCAATTTTATTTTAAATAAAAATAAAAATAAAAATTGAAAAATTATTTTATTACATTTAGAATAAAATCTTAAATTACAAAAAAATAAAAATAAATTTTGGGTGTTATAGTAAATATTAATAAATTTTAATAATATTATTATGATTTTAAATTAAAAAAATATTTTATAACAAATATGTTTTGTTAATTGAAATAGTTACATCATTGTAAAATAAAAACATGAAATAGTTTTTATTTATTTTCTTAATAAAATAAAAATTTAATTAATTAATATATTGATAAACATATAATAAATAAGTTGAGATAAGTTTAAGTCAGTATATCACTTTTATAGATTAAAAAATATTTAATAATAATTAATTTTTTTATTAATTAAAATAATTATAAATAGTTAAAATAAAATAAGAAGAAAATAAGTTTTGATTTTTTAAAAAGAAAATTATAATTTCACGTAGCAGGATTTAAATTGATTTTAGTATAAAAATGTTAACAGTAAATATAAATATATATTTTATTGTACATCATTGTGGACCAATATTTTTGACCAATTGAGATACTTATCTATTTTGATACTCTGTTGATTTATTTATAAAGTAAAGTTATATTCTTTTAAAAGAGGTTGTTATTTAAAGTTACGCATTGATTTGATTGTGATAAGTATATGACAATCGTGATACGAGAAATATTTTTATAGCTAAAAATATTTTTAGATTAATATTTTTATAATTATTTTTTTAATATAAGTAATATTTTAAATCATGCTACTCTCAATTAACATTTTAAAATTATATAAAATATTTCAAAAATTTTATACGAACTTAATGTATTTTAATAATAGTGGCGATGTTAATTATCTTTTAAAATTATTAAAGAAAATTGATGGATCAATTTAGCTGGACCTAACCTGAGCCTCCCACCAGACTGGGCCGCTCGGCGTTGATTGGACTGATCTAGCCGGATCAATGTCGTTTTGGGGATGGACCAACTCTACCCAACCCATGTACAATCATTTGCCTAAGATGTTAAAATTATGTATATATATATATATATATATATATAATTAACATAAATATATACACAAAATATTTATTGAAAATTTTATGTACGGGTTAAAATTTATGTATTATTATTTAAATTTTATGAGTTTAAATTTTAATAAATTTAAGTAAAATTTATTGTGTTATAAATATATTATAAGTTAATACCATTAAAATTATAATGTTTAATTCAACATACTATATAATACAATTATTATTATACTTGTGGAGTTTTGACGACTAATTTAAGCTTTTTCACAAATGTGTATGAGTAAAAAAAAAAAATTATGTGCTATTACTTTAACTTAATTAAGTTATAATAGATTGAAAAATGAAATAATTTTTTAAAGGAAATTTCAATTATCGTTATATATTTTAATGTAAGAAATGCAAGTACAAAAATTTCGTGTACATATTTGAAAGATACTTCGAAAGGAACAAGAAGAAGCATTAACAGTTGGATTCAGATTAGTGTCATTGTTCTTGCTGTTGATAGTGAGAGGAGAAAGCGGGCAAGCAGGATAGGCATCAAGCAAATGGATTTGTCGAATCTCACTTCGCTTCCTGAAGAGAGCGAAGAAGAACAACCGCATGAACCGCCGCGGGACAAGCCAATGGTGTCTGCTTTTGCCTCTCGGCCTGATCGACCTCCAACTCAGTGAGTCATTTATCCAGTTGTCCTCAATTCGATTGAAAAATTTTCCAACCCTTTTGTTTGCCTGACAAGTTTTGCAGATAAACTCGTCTTCTGTTCGATTTATTTATTTATTGTCACTTCGATTGTTTCTTGCTAGAACGGTGTTTAGGGTGCAGACATGCATGATTTAAGCATTTGAAATTTTCAGTTATTTGCCATATTTGAAGGAACCTAATCCAGTACAGTTACAAATTGAAAGCAACTTAACGATATGATCTTTGCCTTTTCAATCTTCATCTGTATGTTGAATTTTGGGAGCGGAGATGGCTGAAATTACAAGGCAAGAAATTACAACGGAAATCGTGCTTATTTTTTAATTTGTTTACTGTAAATATGATAAGGTAGTTTCATATTATATGGTTTTCTATTCTAAGTGTTTGATTTGCTACATCAAGTTCAGGAAAGAGCCAAGCACCAAACTAAAACTTATAACTCGGACGACTTCTGCTTGATTTAAGCTTTTCGAACTAAAAAGAAATTGAGCTTTTTCATGCAAATTTAGTGTTGGTGAATGCACTTAATGTTCATTTTAGGCGCTGAATGATGATTCCATCTTATTTCACAAAATGTTAATGCAGGAGTTCTTCACAAAAATATTCACCCTTAGATTGGTTGAGCTACTTTGATAGAGAGGAAGATGTCTGCATATCAGGCTCGAATGATGTCAGTGTTGATTATTTGTCACTTTGACTGACTTTATTGTTCCATTTTTGGATGATTATTCTCTTTTAACGAGCTACATTCTTTTAGGTCTTTCACGTATATATGGCAGGAACAGAAGGACCAGTTGTTTTTTGTTTGCATGGAGGTGGTTATTCTGGGTATGTCTTGATATTTCTTGATCCTGAATGCTAGCCTATTATTTTTTTCTTTGTTTCGTAATAGAGAAGTTTTTAATTAGCGAAACATGGTGAATAATTGAGATGATTTGGGTGATATGCTTCATCCGAAGCAGTGGATGAATGTGTAAGATTATAGGATGTGGCTGATTGGGCCATCAACCATAAAATTACAGTGGCATTCTTTTTGCATGGAGATGCCATTGTCTCTAAAGATCATTTGCAGCCTCAGCAAGTCTTTCACAAATTGTTTTCTTTCCATCCTCATGGCTTGTAATCTAGTAAATCTGTATATTTGACCAAGAAAGAGAAGCAGTCTAATCATGACAGTTGAAATATTATGATGGAATAGCAAAGTTATTGGATTAAAGCTAGTTTTACATGTACTATGGGCAACCCAGGTGGCCCAAACAAGCCTGCTCAGGGGCTGGTCTGATGAGTTGTGATGAGCTACATGAGCCCATCTTCCTTATACTTCCCAAAATGGTCTGGTTTGGCTGCATGCATGCGCATGTGCTTCTGAAAATGCTTGGAGCTAGATAATAATAAAAGTTTTGTGCATTATTATCATGTGATCTTTACCTTTTTATGAAGTTAACTTCCTTAACTATTTTTTCAGGCTTTCATTTGCATTATCTGCAAGCATAATTAAGGAGAAAGTCCGTATAGTTGCTATGGACATGAGAGGACATGGAAAATCATCTACAGAGAATGATCTGGATCTATCTATTGAGGTATAATATTTTTATTATCAGAGGATACTACTGAAAAAGGATTTTTCCCACAAGTCAAACATTTCTATTAATTTTTCATTTGGTTTTGGAGCTAAAGAGATATTTTTGTGCATGCAGACAATGTGCAATGATGTATTCGCAGTATTAAAGGAAATATATGGGGATTCCCCTCCTGCAATTGTGCTTGTTGGTCACAGGTTCCAATCTTTTTATAAGCTAGCTTACTTCATCGTTCTTCAAGTTTTTGCTCATCATGTCACTGTTCTCAAATAGAAGGAAACTGAATGTTAAGGTTACAAAGGCCATATCAAGGAGAATGTTGCACGATATCTTTGCTTTTGCACTCTCTACCTCCAATTTAGGGCTATATATTAAAGTTTCTGCCTCATTGGCCATCTGTGCTGGGAAGATATGGACTCATATTTTTACAAAAATGATGACCTTTTGAGGTGTGAAGCAGGAGAGAAGGGAATATTGCTAGGCCTTATCTTGTTTCCTATTATCAAAGGGGACCACTAATTTTATGAGCCTGTGACTTTTCTTCATGCGCTCGAAGAAGATATACATATATATATATATTATATTGGACTGTTGGGGACAACTATAAGTTTTGGGAGAAAGTTGGTGCATAAAAGTAGTTTCGGATGCTCCTTGTTTTTTTCTCAGTTTAGACGATGATGAAGGGGAGAGGGGAAGTAAACCTTACATGGAACTTTCTCTAAGTTGAGTTTTTTCCCCTTCTCTCTTTGACAACTAAGTTTACCTGGTTTCTTTATGCCTGCAGAACTTGCTTAACTAAATATGCAGGTTAGGAAGGCTTCACGAAGTGCTTCTTAGGAGTTGAATTCCTCAAAACAAAAGAATCTATTTTCTTATGTTTTTATAAAAGAGGGTGTCTTTACATGTGTTATTTTGTTGTTTTTATGTAACAAATTGAGAATATTCTTTATGTGGTTTTAATTAAGATATGGACTTCAACTTTTAAGTTTCATGGATACAACTTGTTTTTGTTAGGTTATTCACATTCTAATTCTATGTATCAGATTGGTGGACAAAGTAATAAATATTCCAAAATTTTATTAACATTGTTTTATGGTATTGAAGGATTGAATATGTAAATATGAAACGTATATTTAATATATGGACATTTTCTAGACTATTTCTTCTGTTATCTGTTGCTAAGATAGGACAGGTAATTGTTAGTCTTTCTCGCTTGCTTTCTCTCTCTCCCTCTCGTCTTGCCCACACCTATACAGTTGCACACATATCATGGATTTAACTCTTATTGATTGTGTTTTATCGTTGTCATAAAGCATGGGAGGGTCAGTTGCTGTGCATGTTGCAGCGAAGAAAGAATTGCGTACCTTGGCTGGCTTGGTTGTAGTAGATGTTGTCGAGGTTTGATTTCTTTCGAGAAACATTATTATTTTTTCCTTTCACAGTCTGCATAGAAGCAATTTCCTGATACACGTTAACATGCATAGCAGGGAACAGCTCTAGCTTCATTGGTCCACATGCAAAAAATCCTATCAAGCCGAATGCAACATTTTCGAAGCATTGAAAAAGCGGTAGGCAATTTTATAATTTGTTAATTTTTCTTCTTAAGCCTTTTTCTTCTATTCTTTTGGTGGAGAAATAATTTTGAGTGTTTTATTTTTTTTTATTCCTTTTTTTAATCTCAACTAATTATGAAAATAGTAAAATGTTAATTTGTCAGTTCTAGTATTTTTCTCTTTGATACTTTGAGAGGTGGAAGCATAGGCTTTGATGGAGTTCCCACATGGAGGAAAAGTAGATTTCAATGCTCATTGTCTTGTGTGCCAAAACATCTGTCTTTTATTCAGTAGCTAAGAGAATCGAGAAACTAGCCTAAACATAAAAATTGAAGATAGTCTTTTTCCTATTTATTTAGGGGGTTTGGGGACTCGTAATTTGCTAGTTTCAGTCAAGTTTTGCCAGGGAAACACTTAGAGGCTTGCTAATGTGAAAGACAGCTTTTGGAGGACATGGTGGCATTTGCTAACTATGTGCAGGATCAAGTCGGTTAGACTATTGTGAATTAGGAGCTCTGACAGATAGTCTTTTGAATCATTTTTGAAATCAAATGGGTAATTTGTGAAGCATGATGTTCTTCATGGTTCTTGCCTCCTTTTGGTATTTTGACTAGCTATAAATTTCTTTTGTACGTGGCAGCAAACCCTTGGTATCTCGTTGGGCTCTGGGCCTTTTTTCCCCTCTTGGAAAAAAAAAAAGAGACGCAGGTGTTTTCTTATATAGGTTTACTTCCTGCAACGAAAATAAGGGAGAATCTGCAGAAGATTACTCGGAACTTACTATAAATATTACTTTTTATTTGGCATTTTAATGATTTAGGATTAAATACTATATACATTTATCATTTATTGGATGTGGGAATCACGAAGAGAACATGATATAATTTGTTTTATAAGAATAATTTTGTGTAAAAAATCTCTAGTTTTTCTTTTTTGGTAGTTCATTTTTTTCTGGTTTAACATATTTGGAAAGCAGTTACTCCAAAAATTTTTTTGGTTAATTAATCTCTGTGTCAGCTCTCTGCTTGCATGGTATCTCTTGGGTTGTGTTCAGTTCAGTAGTAATGAATAAGGGGTTTGACTGGGGATTTATTAGCTAAGTAGACCAAAGAACTAAGTTGATTTGTCTGTAATTTTCGATTATGTAGAATGAGAGAAATATGAAAGTTTCTCATAGTAAGAAAACTCATATCTGATTGATGGATGGTACACTTTTACAGTCAGTTTAAAATAGATATTAGCATAGACTTTTGTTGACTTGGTAGAGTTCCTTGTAGAGAATTTGTATTGGGTACTAACCATTTGATGCCTATAAAAGGGGAAAGATTATGAGCTTATGCGACATGCATATAGTTAACAAGAACATGGTTGACTAATTGTTAATTCATTTTCTGGAAATCGTTCGTTTTATTTGTGAACATGGTTGATTATTAAGGGAATGTTGAGAAGACTGTGCACTTGAAGGTAGTCAACTTTTTTGGTTGGAAGACTACTGTTCTGCTTCATGTGGACTAATTGAAGTGAACAAAACAGAATAGCTTTTGATGGAAGGAATTATATGACAATACTATCAAAGTTCTGTGATGTGTCCTATTTTACGTTCTCCCTGATGACCAATCACGAGTCCTTTTCAGCTCCTTAGACACATTTACTTGCTTAGGTCATCATGTCATGAATAATTCAGTTCCCCACAGAATATGTCAGGGTGGAGCCAAGTTGGAGCTCTCTGTTCTCTCTTTCTATTGTTAGTTTTAACTGGTGAAACTGGATGGCAAGATTAATTTGTGAAAGTCCGCAGATTGAATGGAGTGTGAGAGGAGGTAACTTAAGAAACATCGACTCTGCCCGTGTATCTGTACCTACCACATTAATGTATGATGATTCAAAACAATGGTAATGTTTCTGTCTTGATGCGTTTTGTTTTATCTTTTTTTTTTTTCAATTACCTTATTCTATGATAGCGTTCCTAACCAGTGGAGTTCAAAACTTCCGCAGTTATGTTTACCGAGCACGCTTGGAGGAAACTGAACAATATTGGAGAGGCTGGTATGGGTGAATGTTCGTTCAATTATGAGACTTTGACATGCATGTCTTATATTTTATGGTGCTTACTAGATACAAGTACTGCAAGCACTACACAGAGGCATTAATGTCTACTGGGTATTACTTCTTAGAAGGGCTTCCAAATTTCCCTTTGGAAAAAATCACAAATTATTTAAGTATTATTTTTTCCAGACTTCAGTTATTGCTGACCTTAGAAAGAGTGAGGATTTGCCAAATGTGATTTCTGAAACTTTCTTAGTGTGGGATTCCTACTTTCATCACCGGCTTTGGACACCCCTGTTGAAGCGACTAAATTCCTGGAAATTCGGGGGCATCGAAAACAAAAAATTGTTGAAGTTTCATCTTTTGTTCTTATCTAGTGTCATAGAAAGTTTGGTGTTAGGTTTCTTTTGCAAAGATGTTCTTGTTGCTTTTCTCTAAATTATACTCACTTTAAACCTTGGTAAAGTTATCAGAAGTGTTGCCTTAACAATCTCATGTCACTGAGTTGAAGTTGGAGTTGGTAAAAACTTTACAGTCACTTTCAGGGAAAATTAGAACTTCGAGATCCATTTTCAAATCCTTTCAATTCCATGTTGACATGTGCAGCTAACTATCTCCTTTGGGTTTCATCTTTAGATGCCATCCAAGAGAAAATAGAACTGTTTCATTTTTTTATTAATTAACTTTTTATAAAAGTACTGTTTGAGAGAGAGAAAGCGTGAAATTGCTAACAAGTGAGAAATTGAGGACAAGGCATCCTTTATCAGAAAACATAAAATAGAAAGAGACAAGTAAGAAATTTTGAGAGAAATTCGCAACCCAATTGCCTACGAACTAGTTAGAGATACCCAGAAAAAAAAAAAATTGTGAACCTAGACCAAAGAGAGGCTAAAAGCACCATTCTATCCAAAAAAACGTGTTTTGATGGTCAACATTGCTTGAAGATTTTGGCACTGATTCCAATCATGAGACCTATTATCAATAAAAAATAATCCATGTCCAAAACACCTTATAATCCTTGTTCCTTCCAAAACTGAGCAAAGTTGATATTAGGGACAGCAAGGTTCAAGCCACAAACCCAAAATATTCCAAACACAGAAAAAAGCATACTCAAGACTTTCCAAGCTACATTAAAATGGACAAACAAGTTTCCACTGATCTCTGAGGTTTGAAGCATGAATCTAGGGCTAAAGCTCTGTGCTCTACACATCCAAGATACATTATCTTACTACTATATCCATGATTCCTTCCAAAACTGACCGAAGTTGATATGCACATCAATGTTTGAGGCACAAACCCAAAATATTCCCTACATGGAAAAGCATAGTTCTGATCTTCCAAGTAATGACGAAACAAGTTACTACTGGTCTCCCCAAGTTGAAAGCACATCAAACATGAATCTGGATATAAGGCTCCGAATCTTGGAAGCACAAAATTTTTAATTAGCTATTATATTATGCTTTTGTTTTGTTAATGTCCTCTATCATGCAATGCATTTCTCAATGTTTTCTCTGATTTGTTCATTTATGATAAAGAAAACTAGTCTTGAGGATTGTTTCAAAGTTTCTATTTTTTTTTTCTTTTTGAGGAACATTTCAAAGTTTCATGATATAAAAGGGTAGATAAATATTCTTTTGGTACTTAAGTGAATGTGAAACCAAGAAGGTAGCCTAGGATGATACATTAGGGTAGCCTAGGATATAACTCTGCAATCCAAATCTGATATAGGATTTTTCTCATCATTGTCAATGCAGGACGATACATTAGGGTTGTAATTTTCTGTGAAAGGAAGGTAAAAAAGAAGAAAACTTTAAATGCTGATGCTGTGAATATTTTCTTTTAAAATAATTTTGACATTTTTTTTGTCTCCTTCCCTTTACGGTCAACTTGGTTTATCCATCAAGTAATAATTTGTGCCCAGAGAAGTAGAGTTCAATGATGATATACATTTTTGTTCTCCTGTTTCCTTTATAGTCAACTTGGTTTATCCGTCAAGAGAAGCAGACTTACTGATGATATCCTGATAACTCCATACTCAACAAGCTGCATGTGTTATGTTGTTGCATCTTTTATGGAAAAAGTCTTTTCCACTTAAAGCCAGTTGCTTATGTTGCAGGTATGAAGGCCTTTCTGAGAAATTTCTATCATGTCCTGTTCCGAAGCTCTTGCTTTTGGCTGGAACTGACAGACTGGACAAGTATTTCTCCTGAACTATCCTAAATGTTTGTAGAACTTATTTAGACACATGATTATTCATCATAATGTATGTATGTGCTGTTGATTGACAATGTAGTAGATTGAATAATCCCATAGTATTTTTTTACCTAAAGAAAAAAGGAAAAATGTTGTTGATTACTCAAATAAGCTAATGTTCTTTGTGTGTATTATTTGCATGGTATTTTTGAACTTGTTTAACTTTGTAACGTACATGCTAAGCAGATTAGGCTTATAGTTATAAGGGTTGACACATGGTTAGAGAAAGAGAAGTTTAGTTTTGAAAGGGTTGTGTGGCATTAGTTGGATCCAAAAATGCATTATAATCCTGTATGAAGTAGTAAGTTGATGTTGAAAGAACTTGTGATGAAGTGAGTTGATTGGTTAATTGGAAAAGGATTTACCCTTCCCTGGACAATTGGGACAGTCCTTCTGGAGAAGCCTTTCCAACTGGCTGTATTCGTATCTTTTTGTAATTTTTTGGTTTACGGAGCATGGGTACGAAAAGTAGGATACCAGTGTAGGACATGGTACTGACACTAAGAAGCAGAAATGTACAGGTGCTAAGCTTGCCTAGTTTACTCCAGAACAGATTCACATGGCAATGACATGATTTCTGAAGTCTAAAGTCACTGATTATTTGTTTATTATGTAACTCCAACATTTATTGGATTAACTAATTAGTCAGTACCAATCAACTTTCATATCCTGCAGACCAGTTTTGTATCTTTTAATAGTAAAAAATTAGATATTCTTTCGATATTGATGGGTGGAATTGATGTCTTTAATATCATCAGTTTCATGGATTTGATATCCTGGGAATGGATTTGCGTTGTTCTGTAACAGAGCTCTCACAATAGGCCAAATGCAAGGCAAGTTCCAAATGGTGGTAGTCAGGCATACTGGTCATGCTATACAGGTCCAAATAAGCTATCTTTCATCATATTCTTTATCTTTCCTCTTCTCTTCTATTTATGCTAAAAAAATAGTAAAATATTATCTTTTTTTTTTTCTATTCAGGAAGATGTACCTGACGAGTTTGCCATGCTAGTTCTCAACTTCATATCCCGAAACCGAATTGGTCCTCATGGCGTTGAGGTTGGTCTCTATATGCTATTCTTTGCAGTCAACATTATAAACAACTTTGTGTCATTCGAAATAATTGGCAATATCTTTAAAAGCTTTACTTGTGTTCCTTGTTGACCCTGTTGTAATTCAATTTTGGTGTTGTATTACTACTGTTGTTCATATGGTGCACGGAAGGGAGGGAATGAGTGCTATTTTCTATTTTTTTTTTTGTTTCAAAATATGCATCGATTATGTAGATCAACAGGGTATCGGGACATTTCTGAGTCCTGGGACTATGCCCAGGTCTAGGGACTGTGCTGGGGTCCCAGTAGTTCATTGGGGTCTCAGACTTCTTTAGAGTCTTGTGATTACTCCACCGCCCCCTTTGTGCTTTGAGATTCAGGACAGCACCCGAGTCCCAGGGTTATGATGGTTTCCTGTATGGCTCCCGGGTATCAGAACTTCTCCTAGGTTCTGAAACTTCTCCAAGTTATGTCAAACTAAAACACAACTTTTTACTTCAAGATCTTATTTGGTGCTAACTTACTATGGTAACCCATACCAAGTCATATTACAAATTGTTTAGTACTATATTTTAAAATACCAAAACTGGATGGTTTGTGCTTATTTGTATTATACCAAGATGGTACAGTACTGGAAGAATTATGCTACCTAGATTATTAACATTACTGCAACTTAATTTCCCAACTGTTTTGTTAGGCCTTAGCGTAGTGTGTTGGTCTATCAAGGTAAGGAAACGTGAGAAATAATTGACAAATTCTGTAACTTCCTTATTTGATCTTGTAACTCTTATTTATAATGCTAAAATTCTTATGCAGATTCCCGGACTCCGTCGGCCATTGCAGTCACAAACTTAATGTGATTAATGATAAATCAACGGTGGCAGCTGGCTAAGGCTTGCCCTTTTTCTAACTCTGAAGGCTGGACGAGGTGTGGGTTTTTCCATATTATCGCAATGCAGGCATACTTTTTTGTGAATAAGATTAGTAACGTCTGCCTTGTTCTTAAGTTTAAAGGAAAGCCTACAACATTTCTCATTACTAAAGTTATTAGTCACAAACTGGATACACAATTTCTATAATTGCAAGAGGCAACTTATTACCGTTCTGGTTAACCTCAAATTTCAAGCGGAAGCATTGGTTCAAGTTCTACAGTTTCTTTGTACTGAAACTGATTGATTAGTCTTAGTATACAGGAAATAATGAGAATAGAAAGTGAGAAACGAAGATGATATAGGTACTGTCGGTAGGATTGAAACTGCCCTGCTATTTACTGCATTAAGTAGGGACAAAAAATGAGTTGAATTGGAATATGTGGATATGATATGTATAACTGTGAACCGGATACATAAATGAATTAAGTCAAGGGTCGAATATTTAAAATATTTGAAATTATTTAGGCAAATAGGGTCAATTTTTTTTATTGGTTATGTTAGTATATGGAGGACACATAAATAAATCTGTGATTTCTTGTGAAGAGGCAAGGAAAAGACAACATTTTTAGTAGCCGATGACCTGTTAACCTGTTTTAATTCATCCTAATTCGTAATTAACGAGCATTAAATGAGTTTAGACAGAAAGTTATAAATCCGAAATAAATATACAATGAGTACAAAGTTAATGGTTTATCCATCCTATATATGTAATTAATAAATTTTAGTTTTATTCAAATTAATTTATAAATGTTTAATGTTGTATAATTTAAAATGTTAGTTTACATTTTCATTAAGCAATATATTTAAATATTATTTTGAGTTATATTTTATATTTTTAATTAAAATTATATTTATATATTGTATAAAATCTTTTAAAAATAAAAAAAAAAAATTTTATTTATCGAATTTGAATATAAGACAAGTATAAATTTAACAGAACATATAGAAATTGAAGTGTCTATTTCATGTCTTTTTAGGAGATTCAAACATCAGTTGAGATTTTAAAGTGAGAGAGTGTTAGAGTATGTGCCAAATATGATGTTTATTTCTTGAATAGATCCTAATAGGTTTATTAATTTTTATTTTAAAAATGAATTTTATCAATCTCATTATTATATTGATTAGATAGAATTAATTCATAAATAAAACCAATACTTTAGAGAAAAAGATATTAGAATATATATTTGCATTTTCATTTATGTTTTAAAAAATATAATTAATTTATTTCAAATACAAAAATTCATTGTTAAATAACGTACTAATTCCTCAAATGGCTTATTGGTTTATAAATAAATAAATGTATATATATATATATATCAGTTATTAAACTTTTGATTCAACGTGTCTCGAGTAAGACTTACCGTCTTATCTATGCCCAAAGAACAAATCGGGTCCGTAAATTAACCCGACGCACAACCAATTTCAAACCCGTGACCCAAGATTGAGTGGCCGATTCGCTTCTCTGCCCTCGTAGTGTTCTGCCTCCGGTGCGTCGCCGCTTGATTTCGCGGTCAATGTCATCTTCAAAAGTATCATAAACGTTGATGGAAGTGTTAAGCTTCTTTAAGAGGAAGCTCAGGTACTTTCGTCACTCTGCCCTCCTGCAGCTTTCTGCATCGCTCCTCCTGTTCCCTTCTGTTCCTAAAAGCTTCGTCTCACCGGAAACTCAGAGTAACCTACTCGTCGATTTAAAGCAGTTTCGCACCAATTTCAGGTCAAAAACTTCATATTCCATATCTTCAACTCACGTATCTTCTCAGAGTTCACATTTCTATGGATGCGATTGCTGTGGAAGTGTGTTCTCTGCAAATGGATTAACCTCATTGTCTTCTATGAAGTATTCATTTCACCAATCTTCACTGCTTATGTGTACCAGTGAATATAATAATATTTATAGAAGCCAAAGTTTGAAAGGAAGTTTGTCGAAACCTCACAATCATGTTGTCATTCGATGTTTTTCAGCACCTTCTTCCCGTGTTTCCCCTGTTAAGGATTTGGTTATGGATGGGTTTAGGCCACATGCTACTCCGGAGCAGGTAGCAGAGGTTATTGGATTAATTAGAAGTGGTGCGAATTTGGACTCCGAGTTGAATTCAGGGAAAGTAAGGTTATCCCCTGCTTTAATTAGTGAAATCTTTCGAGTTCTTAGTCTAGAAAAGGTGTCCGCATTGCGATTCTTTAATTGGATTAGATATTCTCAGCCTGAACTTTTCCAGAATTCTGATATTTGTAATTTGGTTATAGATAATTGCGGGAGAAGAAATGATTTTGAAATGATGCATAAACTTTTTTGTGATTTTAGTCTAAGGGAAGTTTGTCTAACTGAAAAGGCTTTTAAGTTCTTGCTTGTGATGATTTCAAGCGATGCTTCTGTAAGGAACTCTGTATGTAAAGTGGTGGAAGTGTTGAATCAAGTTGGGGGCTCCTGCCGTGTTTCTGGTATTTCTTCACTGATTGAGATGTTTAGCAAATTGGGGTACTTTGAAATGGCAAAATATGTAATCCAGCAAACAGAGAAGAAGGCATCTTACTACCTTGTTTTGGTAAGTGAAATGTGCAGGAGATGTGAGCTTGGAGCATTGAAAGATCTGCTGGATGAGATGAGGCAAATAGGTTATGGCCCATATACACAAACTTATAATTATATATTTAGCTATTTATGTAAGATGAAGAGAACAGCTGAAGCTTGCAAATTTCTGGAAGAAATGCAAGAAAGTGGTTGCTCTCCCAATGCTCTGACCTTTGAGATTTTCATATTCCACTCATGTGGGCTTGGCAAGTTGGATTTGGCGCTTGAGATTCTTGGTAGAATGGAATTGACAGGTATTGAACCTAGGCTTACAACACATGCTGCATTTATCAAGAGTTATTTCAACTTGCAGCTATATGAGGAGGCTTATAACTATGTGGTTTCTTCTAGTGACAAGTATAAGTGTTCAAGCAATATGATGTACAGCTTACTTGCCAGCCTTTATCAGAAAAAAGGAAATCTATTGAGTGCGCATCAAGTTCTTCTTGAAATGATGAAGAAAGGCCTAAGACCAAACTTTCCTGTGTATGTGAGAATTTTTAAGCATCTCCAGAAGTCAGGCAGGGAGGAGTTAGCGAGAGATTTAAAGAGCATGTTTTCTAGTTTAAGCATGCAGTAAAGACAGATGATGGATTAAATTTTCCAAGATTTGGTAACTGTTTGCAACCTTTTCCTTTCCTTTAATCTATTTCCTATTCCCAGAGATGTATAATGAGTGTATAGGAGTTCTGTCATCGGGAAGATGTGTTTCTTTTCTTCTTCCTCAGATTTACATGTATAATAAGAGCATCTTCTTTCAATAAAAATTGATTTCCACACAAGTTTTCCTTTCCGAGGGAGGAAAATGCAGAGGAAATAAAAATTCTATTAAGTGTCAAGATCTGTCAATGTGAACCAGAAAGTAATCTTTCTCATCCCCACTCAAAGCCCTGCACAAAATGGGAAAAAAGGAATATAGATTTCTGATGCTCAGCATTATATGCTAGTATTCAGTTACACTAACAATGCGTTTGGTTCAATTCTAATTCAAATTTCCTAGTTCTAATTCTGACATTAGCTTTTAACATGTATAATTAGAGCATAACTTGTGCTTGACGTCCTGCCACTCCCATGTTAAATTCTTTGGTTACAGGAAGTTATTTCACCTGGAAGTGTAGGTATTGAGCTGCCATTAAGAACTCAAGATGGAGCTGATATAACTTTAAACCTTACCAATTATATTCCACATTATGTATATCAAGACTAATAAGACAATCATAACTATAAAGTGGATGAGCATTAAACCAAACGCAACCTAAATAGTATTTCTATAGTTGATTGTATGATACCTCAAGGGCGTTGTAGATTTAATTACATAGCATATTTCTGCAGTTTATTGTCTTCATGATCCTTTTGTTTGTGGTAGTCTGAATTAGCTCTTAAGCAAACACCTTAAAATGAGGGACTTAAGGAAATCTATAAGATATTCCCCTGAACTATCTAGAGAAACTTTCTGCATCTTAATGTAGCAGAAGCCAAGAAGAACAAGTCTGGACTGTGCCTTGGCAGTTGGCAGAGGTTCAAGGTCTTAGCTATTGCTGTTTTGCAGACGGTCACTTGTAAGTTCTCCTTCTTTATGTTTATGGCTTTGAATTGCAGTATATGTAGATGTTGGGTTTCTTAAAAACTTAATTTCGAACTGTTACCATTAGGATTCGAGCATTTGCTACTAATTATACTCTTTAGTTTGTGCTACAACAGTACCCTGTATGCACCATGACTCACAATAGTTCTTGATATTTCATAAATTTACTAATCTTGTCTAATAGTCACTTAATATTATTGTCTATCAATCAGATATAGGTATAGCACTTTAAGTCATTACTAACAAATTACTAAATTATGAAGTTAAAAAATTACCATGAAAGCATGATGCATCCCAAGTACCACAGAATTTCTCTTTGTTAATGTTGATTTGAAGGAGAGTGCAAGCCAGGAAACTTCCTATTCTCATCAAAATATTGAAAACAAGTGAGAAATCTTGAATTCCTGAACTTTGTGATCTGGGTATTGTTGGGAAAGGTAATGGGAAATGTTGCAGTCATATTGTTTCATCGTTACTTCGAAATTTGAACTTTCTACATATCCTTTGCAGGAATATGACTTCTTGTATCATCATTAGTTATGAGGCCTGCTTGATCAATCATGGATCTCTTTGCTATCATCAATGACTGAAGTGATAAATGATAATCCTTTCAATTTGGTAACCGATTCGTCTTGTCATCCAGACCCACATATATTCAGTCCTTTTTTAAGATTTCTCCTTTACTATAACTAACTTGTATGAAGTATACAAATTGTGCAATGGCTCTTTTCTCTGTTAGGGTTCAAATAAATCATCAGAATTCCTTTAAGTAGACAATTCTCTCCTGATAAACTAATATGGCCAAAACAAAGGATCAAAAATTTATAGTTTGGACACTTTATCATTTAGCGATAGCGAGGAAGTAGCAAATACAAACTATTAGTTACTCTATTAATTCGGCTTCACTGTAGTCCACATTTTGGCAAAATATTTAAAGAACATAGAGAAAGAACAGATACCAGTGAGAGAAAAACTCTCACAGAAATTGATTCATACTATATTGTTAATTTGAAGATCAAATTTGATTAAAGAAACTCTTGATTATTCAGCCCTTTCTATTGGTACACGACAATTTCAAGCTGGCGATTAATTTTATAAATTTCTTTTCTTTTTTAAAAAACAAAAACATGGTTACCTCCTTGAGCAATAAGCTGGAAAAGTACTTAATCCCATAGGCAAGAAAATTAAGGATTAAATTACATACTTTACGAAAATGGCTGAGCCACTCGTCAAAAAGAAAATGAGGGTTGTGACTCAACAAAGAAGCTTTTTTAATTGTATTAACAACCGATCATATTGGAATATTGAAAGATTGTTGTAATTACATATTATCTAGAGAAATATTATCTAGAGAAATATTTTCCTTGTTGAGTATATGGAATTGATGTATCAGGAGGAATATAAATATTTCCATATAGGGTTGTGTATATATATGGACTTGATGTATGAAAGAAACAGGAGAGCTCAAGTAGAGGACCGGAGTACAGTTTATTTATCATGACAATGACAAAAGTTTTACACACTCATTTCCTTAGAATATATACATATATACATGTATATATGTATATATATATATACACACATTTGAGTCGCTGCTCCAACTTTTAAAGCAAGTTTGTTTCCTTACGTCTTTCTAAAACCTCTGCTTGAAGTATTAATCTTTTCATTCTTTGGACTAAAAATTGTTTCTAGCTAGTCAGATCAGTTTGGCCTACATTCAGTCTCCAACACCCCCCATGTTAAAATAACAAGAGGGCGCACAAATGGTGGGTGAATGTAGCCATTGACCTATATATACATGTACACACACACACATATATATATATATATATGTATATTCACCCATGAAACATAATGGTTGGTTTATATCAATTGCCATAAATACTGGTGGAATCTCTAACAACATCCATACAAGTAGCAGTAGTCCCTTTAATGCACCACACCATGAGTTTATTTCTCCTGAACTTAGTATAAGTAGAGATGAAAGCAAGAGAGATTGAATATACACACATTTATATATTAATCAGAGTTTAGGGAAAATATATAACAAGAGAGATACTTGATTTAATTGAAGGGGAAATTAAAAAAAAATGGGAAGTATAAAATGGGTATCTGTAAAAGAGATGAAGAAGGTGAGCTGCTTAGTAGCTCCAATGGTGGGATTCATGATTTTGCAGAGCGTTGCACCTGTTGTATCAGTGATGATGGTGGGTCATCTTGACGAGCTCTCCCTCTCTGGTGCTTCCGTTGCCACTTCCTTCACCAATGTCACTGGCTTCGCTTTTCTTGTAATTACTTAATTATGTCTCTTCATTTTCTTTCATACTTTATTTTCTCCCCAATTTTTTTTTTAATTTTTTATTAAAACTTATTTATTTTAATATTTAAGTAACATATGCCTATTAATAACAAGAAAATAATAATATTACAACCTTATAATAAGGAGACATAACTCATTTCAGAAAAATATGCAAGAATATCAATCATCTAACCAAGTAATAGTTGGTTTCTTATCTCATTCAATATATTTCATGCATGCACATATATATATATATATATATATATATATCAATAAATATGTATTTTTTAAAGTAGAAATTTACATATTTCAATAATTAGATGATATTTGCATAATTAAATTTATAGTAAATTAACAATATATTAAAACATCCAACCAATGGATGGTTGGTTTTCTTCTCATTCAGTACATCTCATGCATGCATTTATAAACATATATATATGTCTATTTTGTAGTGAATTCTCCTTTCTATGCAGTTTGGGATGGCATGTGCATTAGATACTCTCTGTGGACAAGCTTATGGAGCAGAAGAATATGAAAAACTTGGAAATTACACATATGGAGCTATCATTTGTCTGATTTTAGCTTCTCTCCCAATATGTGTTGTATGGATTTTCACAGACAAATTGTTGATTCTGATCGGCCAGGACCCTTCTATCTCCACTGTTGCTCGTAACTTTTCAATCTGTTTAATTCCCAGACTGCTTGCTTACGCATTTCTCCAGCCATTTTCTCGTTTCTTGCAGACTCAGAGTTTAATCTTGCCTCTTCTTTTCACCACTTCAGCGACACTGTTTTTCCAAATCCCACTCACTTGGATTTTCCTCTTTAAACTTGATTTGAAAACTAATGGAGCTGCTTTTGCACTCAGTATTTCTTCGTGGTTTAATGTTTTTCTCTTGGGATTTTATGTCAAGTTTTCTAGTAAATGCCAAACAACTCGTGCTGGTAGCTCCCCACGTCATCTGTTGCGTGGAATTATTCAATTTCTTCGTCTTGCTCTTCCTTCTACTGCAATGGTTTGGTAAGTATACTTATAATTATAATTGATCTCTATATATATTTCTGTGTAAACACACACACACACACACACACATAATATTTCGCTGCCAGCATAATAATTTAGTAATTAGAACCTTTATGTTTTATTGAAAGTCATGAATTTAACTCTCACTCAGAGTGTAAAGTTTACTAATTAGATTAGTGTTTATTTTGTAAGTGTATGATAGATTGACAATAGTTAACCTATAATACTTGATTTTGTAAGAGAAAATTATGTTTAATTTCAATAAATATCTACACACAATAAATATCACTATCAATACAGTAATTTAATAATTAAAATATTTATATTTTATTAAATATTATAAATTTAACTTTTAAATGGAGTATAAATTATTTTTTTATGAAGATATTTTGAATTAATTCATATTTTATAAGAGTATTATAAATTGATAATATTTAATTTATAATAGTTGATTCAATCAAAATAAATTAGATTTAGTTTTAACCAATTTATAAACTCAACTTAGCTTTTTTTTTTTTTTATCAAGTATATATTTACATATATATATATATATATATGTGTCCACTTTGTTAATTAATTTTTCCTAATCTTGTCCTCGTTTTTTCTAGCCTTGAATGGTGGTCGTCTGAGGTTCTCATCTTACTATCTGGTCTCTTACCAAATCCCAAACTAGAGACTTCAGTTGTTTCTATATGGTATATATATATATATCTTACCCTTCTTCTGATCATCTCGTTTTTCTCATATACCATATATATTTGTTTTTCATAATACGACTCTACTTTCTCATTCTTTATATGAACAGCTTCACAATTATTTATATCCACTTCTATGTAACTTATGGATTTGGTGGTGCAGTAAGGTTAGCTGGCTTTCAACCTTTAATCTCTTTTCCTTCAAAGAAAAAATCTAAATATACACATATTATACGTATGAGATTGTGTATGTACATACATAGTTGTAAATTTGCAGCGTTCGGGTTTCAAATGAATTAGGAGCTGGTAATGCAAAGGCGGCTAAAATGGCTACCGCTTCAATATTAGTTCTTGGAATGTTGGAGGTGATTTGCATAAGCGCTGCTCTTTTCTCTTGCCGCAAAATTTTGGGATATGCATTCAGCAACCAGAAAGAAATTGTGGATCGTATTGCAGATTTGAGTCCTTTAATGTGTTTCTTGATTATTATTGACAGCTTCCAAGCTGTATTTTCAGGTATATATATATATATATATATGTGTGTGTACTCTACTTTCTTCTATTTTTTTTCTAAATAATTTCCAACAATTTTTACACATATACACATATATAAGTAAATTATATGCAGATAACCAATTATTTTTTGTCTATCTGCTTGGTATTTCGATTTCTCTATAAAAATTTATAGATTCAAGTCTGTTAATTTTTGATATACAGTCTGAAACATGAGTGCCATGTCGGCCTGCGATCATATTAAAATCTTCTAACGTGTATGTAATAAACATATAGTCTCCTTCAAATCTGCAATCTCTTATATTATATTATACGAGACTCAAGTCTGAAACATTCAACAAAGAATCACTGATTACAATTAGATATTTGTTTATTGAATGATTTAATTGGATTTTTTTTGTTTGTCGGTGTAATTAATGCAGGAGTTATAAGAGGGAGTGGATGGCAGGATATTGGAGCATATATAAATTTGGGAGCGTATTATCTCATCGGAATTCCGGCGGGTGCGGTGTTGACTTTCGTTTTGCATTTGAAATCCAAAGGCCTCATGATCGGATTCTTCGCCGGAGCCGTCGTCCATGCGGCTCTTCTTGCTCTCATTATACTTTTCACGGATTGGCAAAAACAGGCATCCAAAGTTAGAGACAAGATGCTTCAATCACATTAATTTTAAACCATTTTAATTAGTCAACTAATTATATATATATATATATATACACCTATATTTAGATATACACATATGTGTGTGTGAATATGATTACTACAATGGAGTTACCCTTTGGATAGTTGTACCCATAAATCGTATTTTTACATATTAGTACTAATGCTAGATAGAAAAGGAGATTTAGAATGAATAGATATATAACGATATATATAATAGAATATTGATATTTACTTATATAATTATGGTAGCCAATTACTTATATAATTTTTTTAAAAATAAATTATTATGTTAATTTTTGAAATTTGACACTTTTTTATAATTTAATTTTAACTTTTTTTTTTTTTGGTTATGATCTCATACCAATATTTTTTATTTATTTCAAATACTTCATAATAAAAAATTTAAAATAACTTGGTCATATTAAGATTTTTTTTTAAAAAAAATAATTCAAAAAAATAACTCTCGTAATATTATTAATTTAATTAATCAATTAAAATTAATAAATTAATTTTTAAAGTATTCCAATATTTTATTAAAAATAAAAAAATAAATATGTCTTTCATTCAACGTGGCTTCCTGTACCAATTGGTCTCTAATCATCTAACACCAAATGAATTCTGGAAAACCTACTACACCTACACCACATAAAAACAAAACTAAACTAAACTACAACAACACTTATGATAACTGTAGCCAAACGGGGTCTTAAATGTTTCGTGTGAATTTACCTATTTACCCCTAAATATATGACACCGACAACATTTAAGGTTTAAGGTTATTTTGAAGGATCTTATAATCATATTATACCGTTCTTATCGAAGACTTATCACGTGATGGTAAGGAGCTACTGTGGGCCACATGTATGCATTTCGTGTGTACACACACACACACACACAAATATATATATATATAGATACGTGTGGTTTCCAAATATGGTGGTGGAATGTCATGGAAAACAGCATATGGGAGGAGGACACGTGCACGTATTGTAGTATTATATTGTATATAAACAGTAGTAGCATTAGTATTCTGGATAGTCGTGACTTTTTTTATATACATATTTTTTAATATTGTGGATTCGGGTTAAAAGATTAATAAAAATAGAGATGAAATGGGGAGGGGAATTACAATGATGAGTAAATTGATGGAGTTGGTGTCTGTGAAAGAGATGAAAAAGGTAGGTGGGTTGGTAGCTCCCATGGTGGATTTCATGGTTTTGCAGAGTGTTTCGCCGATTGTTTCTGTCATGATGGTCGGCCATCTTGACGAACTCTCCCTCTCCCTCTCCCTCTCCCTCTCCCTCTCCGGCGCCTCCATTGTAACGCCCAAATATATATATATATATATATAATTTTATTTTAATTTAATTTAAAATTTTGTTTATTTTATTTTATTTTAATAATTAATTTACAAGATTTTAATTTAATAAAAATAAAAATAAAAATAATAATAAAATAAGATAAAATTAGTTTTAGGATTTAATTAAAATTGAATTTAGAAAAAAAAGATGAAAATTTAGATTATGGGAGTATTTTTGAAAAAAAAAAATCAAAAATCGGGAGTCAAAACGTAATTTAAAAAAATAACACCATGTCAGCAGCCCCCGCCAATCAGAACACGCCACGTGACAGGGACGTTGATGCACGCATGGACGGAGACACATTGGCGATCCGCGTGCGCGATCGGACGACCCAGATCAAAAGCGCGCATGGATGGCCCAAATCTCACGCGTGAGAACGGTTCAGATTTGATCACGCACGGACAACACAGATCATATCACGATGGACAACCCATATTTATTTCTAATTTAATCGCGATTGGACGTCTCAGATTAAATTATGATGGACGGCTCAGATTAAAAGGGGAGGGTTATAAATAATCACATCCACACCTAACCCCAAACCCTAGCCGCCAGAACCCTCGCCGGAGAAGACGACCCAGCCACCGGAGGAACCGGCCGCCGCCACCCGCCGCCGTACTGGAGATTTTTCGGTTGCCAAACGAGATAAAATTTCTCCCCTTGGCTCGTTTTTTGATGCTGAACCTCACTATGGCCAAATTGGAGCCAAACCACTGGCCAATTGGTCAGAAAACACCGTCGAAGCCCAGCGGCGCTGCCACGGGTCTCCTCGATTTTTGCCTCCGATGAGGCCCTTCCCAGTTCCCGTTCGATGTAATTTTTATACCACCGTGACCACCGTCCTTTTCTCTACAGGTTGACCGGAGCAAAACACCAAACCGTAACTCGCACTGGAGGAGCCGCCGCACCCGAGAGTCCTGCCGCCGGTAAGCCTCAGTTTTCTGTAATTTTTTGGCCCACTGAGGGCCCTAGGGGTGTTTTATCACAGGAACTAGTGTAAGTTTGGCAGAATTTGGCCAAAAATGGAGAACCCGAGGCGAATTGCCGCTGCGAGCGACGGTGCCGTCACCGGAGTACGGCGGAGCCGCCGTGCCGGAATTCTGAAATTGGCCGAAAGGGCCCTGGGTTTGATTTGAGATTTTTTTTGGGGACATGTGCAGGTACCGGAAGTGTGTTTCAGTTTATGGGAAAAAATTCAGGGAATCTAGGGACTGCCCGTAGGCGCAGTGAGAACCCGATTTCAGACTCCAAAACAAGTAAGGATCTCTCAGCCTATTTTCTATTACGACATTAAAGCTTAATAAATGATAAAACGGTATTTATGAATTAATAGATATGTATAATTAATTAAGATTGCTAATGGAGCCCGAATTTGATGTATTTTTCGGTCAGTTGTTGTTTGATTTATTTTACAGTTTTAAATGCAGTATGGTGCCTGATGTGTTTATTCTATGATTTCGTATGCAAGAATCACGGTTTCATTTATTATGCTTTGAATTATTGTGAACCCGATGTTGTGTTGCCTTGTTTGGTGTCTATTACTGGTTTATGTGTTTATGTTTGATTGGATAATTGAAATTAAGAAAAATAAGGAAAAAGTATGCGATTTGATAAATGGATGAAGTCCACAGTCTCACTAGATATCTTGAGAGATGGTGGACGGACCGGGTCTATAGGGACCCTACCGGGAATGTGGTCTCTCATATCGGACGGGGTATGGAGATTTTATGTGTTTTGGCGCCCATACCGGACATGGTATGGGGACGACCCGTTTCACCCTCATACCGGACAGGGTATTGAGGTTTATGATTTTGGCGCCCATACCGGACGGGGTATGGAGACGGCTCTGAAATTAAGTTATTAATGTGAATGGTTCGCGTGTAGTGGAGACCCCCTATGGATCCCCATGGATACTAGTAGGCTGATAAAAGAAGAAATTTGTTATCTGATGATTGAAATACAAAAGTATGACATGTATTATGATACAAATTATGTATGAATTTATGATATTATGATGTTATTATTTCCATAGGTCGTTTTCATGAATCTCACTGAGGTAAGTGGACAGTAAAAGTTTTTATTATTGATAAATGAGTTTGTTATAAATTATGCTCAATTGGTCGTTTTTGTTTTCTACCAACCTTTACTTCTGTGACAGTGAGATAGTGTGATGTCTTTACTGGGTTAGTGTAGCTCATTCCTTACTTAACAATTTTAGATCAGGAAGACTTGGTTCCCGAGCCCGTTCTGCAGGAAGACGATGAGTAGAAGCCAAAGAATTTATTAGTTTTCCTTATAGCATTCATTCATAGTATTTCCTTTAAGTTAGTTTATTCTTTTATACGTTAATTCGTTTTAGTTATTGTGTAAGGGATGTTAATCATAATCTATTTTATTTCGCTTCCGTACTTAGAATAAATATATACATTTTCTTTTATTTTCGGGACCGTTACATTCATTGCCACTTCTTTTACCAGTGTCACTCGCTTCGCTTTTTTTGTACGTATAACTATATACATCTATCTATCTATATACGTAAATGTTTATTATCATCTCTCCGTTTTCCCTCACGTTCGCTGGTTTTCTCCCCTGTATGTACACACACATACTCATCTATTTATCCATCTATGTATCTCTCTCTTTCTTCCATCACTAGTTTTCCCACTAGATATATACACACACGAGTTACAACTTATAACTTTCAAAAAATGATTTTCTTTTTCAATAAAAAATTAGATAAAAATGAAGCACAAAGTTTTCATTTTTTTAAAGTGATAATATTTTTTATAATTATTTATACCAAATTCTGAATTAATTTAACTAAAAATATTTTTAACAGACACATATTTTCACAGTAATTTTAGAACTTAGGGTAAAAATTTAGTAAATTCATAGATTCTCAAAAAATATCTTCATTGAAGATCGATTCCGGATGACTGGTGCATTGGAGAGTTTATGTGGACAAGCTTACGGAGCGGGAGAATACAAGAAGCTAGGATCCTACACATATACTGCTAGTTTATGTCTCATCATCGCATGTATTCCCATATGTATCCTCTGGATTTTCACAGACAAGTTATTGATTTTAAATGGCCAAGATCCTTCAGTCTCGACCGTTGCTCGGAGCTTTTCAATCTATCTAATTCCTCGACTCTTTGCCTACGCTGTACTCCAGCCGTTGATTCGATTCTTGCAAACCCAGAGTTTGATCTATCGGTTGGTTTTGACTACTTTGGCAACCCTAATTTTCCAAGTACCATTCACTTGGGTGTTAGTGTTTAAAGTCGGACTAAAAACAAAATGGAGCAGCCTTAGCCTTCGGAGTATCCTCATGGTTTAATGTGTTGTTACTTGGAGTTTAGTCTTTTCTTCAAAGTGTAGAATTGCTCGTTCAGCTTCAACGTTAATCTCAAAGGGTTTAATTTCCTTTTGCTATCATGGTTTGGTATGTATAATTATATTATATTATATTATATTATTTATTTATTTTTGCAGTCTAGAATGGTGGTCATCAGAAGTTTTGATTTTGTTGTCTGGTATTCTACCAAATCCTAAACTAGAGACTTCAGTTATCACTACATGGTATATATATCTCACCCTTTTATTATTACTATGGTAATCTGAATTCTTGTTTTTGTCTTGCCAACAGCTTCACAATTGTTTATATGCACTCTTTTGCAACCTACGGATTTGGAGGCTCAGTGAGGTGTGTATAAATTAATTTTTTCCTTTACTTTTTTTTTTTAAAATGTATAATATAATTATAATTATAAAAAATAGTTTATAAATAAAAAAATATTTGTACTTGCAGTACACTGGTTTCCAATGAGTTGGGAGCTGGAAATGCAAAAGTAATTAAGAGAGTTATTGCGACAACTTTGATCGTCGGAACGGCAGAAGTAGTCGTAATAAGCGTTGCTCTTTTCTTTTGTCGTCGGCTTTTGGGATATGCATTCAGCAACGATTGTAGATTATGTCAGCAAATTTAACTCCTCTAATGTGTCTATTAATTATCATAAATTGTTTACAAGCTGTGTTTTCAGGCCAGTTTAAACCACTACTTGTACATAGTTTTCATTCCACTAGAAAAACCATATACATACATATATTTTAAAACATATCTCTCAATTTCAACGGTATACTAACATATAAGTATTTTTTTTTTGTTACTATTTGATTTTTAATATTTTTTATTTGTTTTAAAGATATAATTTTTTCTTAATTTTTTAATGAAAAAAATTAAATTATTTTGGATATTTTTAAAAAATAACTCAAAAAATTAAACTAATAAATCAATAAAAATATTAAGTATGTTTTCTTGTTAATACATAACCATTTTAAACTTTTTAAATTTAAAAATAGAAGAAAATTTTATTTTTAAAACAAATAAAAAATTTGAGATATTAAATTATAACAAAAAAAACATTGAAAACAAAATTAACATGTGAAATAAATAGAATATTTCAGAAATTAATTTATAACGAAGAAAATATTAAGAACCAATTTATAATGAATATTAAAATTTAAAACTTAATATAGTAATTTACCCTAAAATAAATTAAGAATAGCACAACTAAATTTGTAGTTACCCAGAAATTTGATCCATGGGCAAATAAATATTAAGGGTATGTCATGTATATGTACGTGATATATCATAATATGGACGCCATATCTATCTATCTATCTATATATATATATATATATATATATACATACACATATATGTGAGAGGGAGTGGATGGCAAAAGGTTGGGGCAAACATAAACCTGGGAGCATTTTATCTGGTCGGAATTCCGGTTGGGGCAGCGTTGACTTTCGGCTTGCATTTGAAATCCAAAGGCCTTTTAATGGGATTCGCCACCGGAGCTTTGGTTCAAGCTGTTTTATTTACTGCTTTCACCAATTGGGAGAAAACAGGTCTTTGCATTTATATATTATATATTTATATTTATAATTTTGCGGGTAGAGAAAGCAAGGGAGAGGATTTTTCAAGATGGTCAGCCAAATGGCGAAGTTTCCTTGAAGCAATAATGTAATTGAAACTGCTCAAGCCTCAAAAGCACTTTAATTGATTTAAGTGCTTCAAATTCAATGCTATAATATAATATTTTATTAGGAAGGAAATGAAGCTTTCACATTAAATATGTTTACAATTATTTGAGAAAGAAACGTCATAAGCACTTTAAAAAAAAAAAAAAAACTTTTTATTGTTATAAATTATATACAAATTTAGAAAATCTACTTATATTTTAAGCTCGAGTTTTAAGTTTTTAGGGCATATTTCCTACTTATATGTTTCTTTGATTAGATTGAAAATGAATTAAAGCTGATTTTGCAAATATTCAATTTGTTCTTTTGTTTTTTGGCTTGAAGCTAAAAACAACCACCATATTTATTAAACAGACCTTGTCCATCTTTTCCAACAAAAAAGGTGAAATATAAATTATTAAAGTAGTTTCTCAAATTTCAATTCTTTTACTTTTAATATACAGAGAACTAAAGTGGAGAATTTGTATAACAAGGGTAGAAGTAGGACTTCACTGGTAGAAACCAACACAGTATTTTTGAACTACCAACAATGGAATAATTTAATTACTGAAACAATCTATTTATAAAGAATAAGAATTTCTCCACTGTTTAACATATAAACTTAGAACATGAATTCCCACTTTAAATTCTACAACACAAGTAAGTCCTGGAGTGAATACGGGAAACCGCATGAGAATCTGTAAGAGACAAAATTCTACAGATAAAATATACAGAAGGTAAATATTACTCTTTATACATTACAGGGCTCATTATTATCTGCTCAAACCACAAGAGAAAATATGGTATGTGAGGAAAAAGAAAAGATAATTAATGGCTTTTTTTTTTAATACCCAGAACCATATTTCATGAGACCAATCCTGAACTATTGAATAACTAAACTATTCAATAGTCATTGTTTCATTTATACAACATTACAGATGAAACAAAATCAAGCCTGTCCTGAGCAGGACAGCAGCTAAATAAATAATGACACTTCGTCAAGGAAACAATGTGTATTAGCGAAGTGTAAAATTCTGTCTCAAAAAGGTATAAGAGTTATTATAACCACTCAAGTGGGTTTACAACAAGAATAGATATGAATCAAATGGCTCAACCAATTGAGCCGCTGCTATAACAACTTTTTTCATCTAGATATCATCCAAACCAATCTCCCAAGTTTCAATTATTATTCCGCTTATTGGACATGTAATAGCAACAACCAAGTTAGTCTACTTCAAAATTGGTGAAATATCAGATAAAATGAAAAATACCCATCAGTCTATAGTGATTCCTTTGCTCGTTGTCCTTCCTCATTCCCCTGAATCAACTTCTTGTTCTTCTCAATTGCTGCAGCTACCTCTTGAGGCATATATTTCTCATCATGCTTGGCAAGAACCTCTGTTGCGGAGAAATAGCAATCCCCACTCCTTGCCTTGCCGGAAATCCTCTTCTCCGAGGCTCCATTCCTTATTTCATTTGTGAATGGTTTTACAAACCCTTCAACCACCACGGAATGACCCTCCCTGAATAGATCGGGCAATGAACCTTGGTACCTCACCAAGATATCAGTGACCAAGTCAGTGATCACGAACTCCATCTCAGGGGATGAGGCAGGTTGTGCCACACTGCCTTCAAGGACCAATCCACCAAGCCTGAACTTGGTCTTTGTTGGGTTTGTCTTGTATTTCTCAAGGGCATCTGTTGGGGTCACATAGAATACGAGTTGGTCTTGAAATTGGTTGAGGACAATCACCACAAACCCAGCGATGCAACTGAAAGTCAGTGCATATGTCCAGAGACGGCGGGTCTGAAGTTGGCGGGCCCGAGCCCCAATGTCTACACGTTTTGGCCTAGCTGGGTGACGCCGAGCAATAGAAAAGAACCGAAGAAGTGTTAATGGAGAGCTATGTGTAGGATCTAAAGGGAGGTGGGACATCCGGGAAAGGATCAATGGTGAAGATTTTATGTTGGAGAGGGTTGTTGGGTTGGGATGCGGGGTTCTGAGCAATCGGGATCTGAGACATTGGGCAAGCCTTGTTGCCATTGGATTTTTCTAGGGAAAATGACAGGAAATGTTCATTAAAATAGTTATTGAATCAAAAACTACCTCACGGAGACGGGAGGGTTTTGAGCGTGTTTGTGATCACAGGAAGATGATGAGAGAAGTTATACAAAACTATAGTTATCCTGCACAAAGGAAAAAAAAACAATAGTTAAACATATATATACTTAGACATATTTGGCGTGTTCAGTAAACTAATTACATGAGATGCATTGGGGAAACTATTGTAATAATTTTTTTAAAGATATTATAATTATTTATTACATTAATAAAAAACAAGCTACCAAGTTTTATCATATTATTGCAAACACAATGATAAGTGTTCAATAAATTCAAACAAATAAAATTAGCACAAGATAGTAATAATGTGAATAAAACAAAAGTTCTCAAGTCAACTGAAAACCTTTAGTTCAGATAGACTACTAGACAACATATCATCCGTAAAGAAATATTTTATCTCATCAAACATTAATATAGGGATACTATAGTACTTGCATACATACTTGCATACGTACTTGCATAAGTGGTTGTTACAATAACAAGTTTACGAGATTGACTCAAAACAAAAAATAGATACTTGCATAGAGTCATACTATGTGTTAAATAAGAGTATATAAACAACAATAGGAAATCTATTGACTTAGTTGTAACATGGTTGTGTAACACTAGATGTCTTATATTCTAAGAGGCTTGGATTACTTCTATACATCTTAATTAGAACTGTCATTGGTTATGACTCAAACCCTACAAAGTCATATAACTCCGAGAAAGTGAGGGAGGAGCTCTAGTGTGGAAAGGCATCCATAGTGATAAGCATTCTGTCAAGCTTGTATCTTTGGCTCATGGAAAGAGAGGAATAAGAAGGCTTTTGGGGGTATAAAATCTAATTTTGATAGATTCAAAGATTCATGATTCTAGGCCTAAGTTTTTTTTTTTTTTTAATTAGGGACCAACTACTATATTCTAGCGAAAATGTATGGGAACTAATAGACATTTTGCTAGAGTTGCAATATTTTTGTATGAGTTGCATTCCTTGGTGCTCTTCGAATATATTGACCTTTTTCTTCTCAAGAAACAAGAAAGTCATATAAGGGATTAACTAATGATCCTTACTCTCGGTATAAGACAAATAGTACCCCGTAGTTGTGCATTATAGATTGTTCTAAGAGGAACGAGTTTTTCCTTTAAAATGATCAATCTATATGTCACTTTCTGACTATTAGAATTTGATATTATATGTCACAATTATGATGCAGGAAAACCTTAAAAATATTCAAAGCCAAAGAAGGCATACTAAGATATTAGAGGTAGGATGCACTAGATTTACCTTATGCATAATTCAAACTCCCCAAATCCCTCAAGATTTAAGGCCTCGAGGATCTCCGTAGAGTAACACTACTCTCAATTTTCATGTCAAATTGATCAGCCTGGAGTCTAAGGTGATGTCTTCATTCTAAGTACCAATGATTGCTCGTGTATGCCTATTTTCTTCCATGTTTTAATCATCTGACTGCTTTTTCATGAAAACAACAAGCACAACCAAGTTGTCCTGTTGTACTCCAACCAGATGCGATAACATATGTTAGAAAACCATTTATAGCCTATCACAACGGGTGGCGCAAAGGTGCATATAGATTCCGCAAAACTATGAATTTTCAATTGATTCAAGAGGAGTTGCCACTAATCAGTCTAAGGTGAGAATAAACAACAAAACATGCATGGGTCCAATAAATGATTGTCAAACAGAATAGGGAGAGTGAGACATCCAAATGGTGGCATATGCTAATTAGTTTTAGTTAAAATTTCTATTTTTATTTTAATAAAATTAGAAACTAAACAGGCAACCTGAAAAACAAAGCAACATACTAAAATTAAGATAAGTCTTCAAATATGCATATAATACATTACGTCCGGATTCTAGTTTAAGCTCCTTATCTTTAGCCTTTTAAACTCCCTTGGCATTAAGTTAAGGAACCAAACATTTTGATACTAAAAAAATTAAAAACCAAATTTTAATAGACTAAATAAACCATGGACATCATAGTCCAAAACAGTGAAAATCAATACAAATATGAAAGTAAAACCCTAGTTCAAGCAATATTAAATGTTCCTAAGCATCCAAATCAATGTTTAAATAAAAATGCAATGAAACCTTGACCAGACTTGAAGAAAAGTAGAAAAAAATCCCAAATTAACCAGTAGACAATCAATTCATCTCTAAATCTCAAAGATGTATAAGTTCTTAACATTAACAAGGTTCTCTTTCTCTCCCATTTTTTCATCTCATACACGTTCATTAATCATAAAACTCACACTTTTCATTTTACATTGATCAAGATAAAAGTTTGATGAAAATAAATGAAACTTCTATTTTCCATACAAGTATATATTCTCAATCACATGACCCAAACATAAATCACACTCGTTTTATGTATTAAAGATATTGTAAACTATACTAAAAAAGAAAAATTACAGGAAGGTTTTGTAATGGGTTACCTTGGGATTTGCTTCTCAAGCCTTTCTCTTTCTCTCCTCTCTCGGGTCGGGTCACTGTCACTGTGTCCTCAAGAAGCCTTTCTCTCCTTCTTCTTTACCAGAAACCCGATCTGCCTTCTCTCCGTGCCTTTGACCGAAATCTGCTTCTCTGCAGTTTCTTCTCCTTCACGCGTCTCTCTCCCTCTCTCCGCAGCTCGCGCGTGCTCTTGCTTTTGTTGTCTCTCTGATGTGAGTGGAAGAAAGCCAAGTGCCTGCTCCAAAACGTTGCGTTTTGGAAGAAGAGAAATGGGCTTCGTGGTTTGGGCTGGTAGTAAGAAAGAATGGAATGAAAATGGGTTTGGGCTGGACTGGGCTATTTTCAGCCAAGATGATAAGCATACTGACTCTTTTTTTTCTTATTTTTTAAAATAAATATATTAAAATAAATTTAAAATTACATGAATTTTTTTTTATAAATTCACATTTATCTAATTAAAAATAATAAAAATTTTACATTAAAAAATAAAAATTAAGTTTATATTGAATTTTGTGTTATATTTTATATTTTATAATTGTAAAATATGTTATATCGTGATTGAAATCATTAAAATCATACAAATTTTAGAAAGATATAATTATAGAATATATAAATAATACATAATTTCAAAAATCAATAAACTAAAAAATATAAAGCTAGAGGGAGATAACCCATATAGAAATCAAGCAATATGCACATATACACACACATGCATGTATATATATATATATATACATATATATAATATTACTTTCAGATGCAGTGCCTATATAACGATTCCGGAAATTCAAAAGAAAATATATAATAATTTAAGTACGGAAGCGAAATAAAAAGTTAAAGTTTACATATCTTACATAATAACTGAAAAGTACTAAACAAATATCACATAATAAATTCTCTGAAGTACTAAACAAACATCACAGAATAAATTCTCTGAAAGAAACACGAGAAATGAGAAAAGTAAAGGAAAATATAAAGTATTTAACATCTACTCGCAATCTTCTTGTGGATCGGGCTCGGGAACCAGGTTCTCTTGATCTGAAATGGTTAAATAAGGGATGAGGTACACTAGTCCAGTAAGAACATCACACTATATCACCGACACAGAAGTAAAGGTTGGTAGAAAATAAAAAATAACTAATGGAGCACTAAATTTAAACCAATACATTTATTAAAAATAAAACAATTTACCCTTCACTTACCATTGAAAAATTTATGAAAACAAATTATAGAAGAAATAATATCATACATATCATAACTTCATGCACGATCAGCAAAATAGAACATATCATAAATTCACATTCATTAACAATAAACTAAATCATAACCGTTTCTCGTTTCACTAGCCTACTAGTATCCATATGGATCCATAAGGGTATTTATGCTACACGTGAATCCTTTCCCTTAACAATCTTAATTTTGGATTTTCCCCATACCCCGTCCGGTATGAGCGCCAAGACATTTAAACCTCAATACCCCGTCCAGTATGAAGGTGAAGCGGCCGTCCCCATACCCCGTCTCATATAAGCGCTAAATGACCAAGTCTCCATACTCCGTCCGGTATGAGACAACGTTCATGGTAGGATTTCCTATGAGCCTGGTCCGTCCACCATCTCTCAGGATATCTAGTGAGGCTGTCATCTTATATGTTTATTAGATCACACCCCTTTTCTGTTTTCTCTTAGTCTCCGTTACCAAATCAAACATAATGACATAAATAAATAAACATATATCCGGTAATGCAATCATATCTTAGATCCCAAAATCAAACAGTGGTCAAGTAAGGTAATAATACATGCATTTAAAATATAAAATAGATAAACCAAAAACCATCATGCTTTTAGACTGCAAAATCAATCAACAGAAATCAACAGAGAACAATAGCCGGTTCGAGCTCCATTAGCAATCCGTAATTAATTATGCATATCTATTTAATTTGTACAAAATACCGTATTATTATTTATTTAAATTTCAATTCCATGATAGGAAATAGAGTGAGAGGTCCTTACTTGATTTGATGCCGAAAAGCTAAATGGTTACTGCGTCTACGGACGGTCCATAGGTTCCCTGAATTTTTCTTCGGGAACTGAAACGCGCTTACGGTATCTATAAATGTCCCAATTAAACCCAAAAATAAGTCTTAGGGCCTACACGGCCAATTTTAGAAATCCAGCACAGCGGCGGTCCACCTCGGGTCTATCGTTTTTGGCAGAATTCGGTCGATTTTACATCTATTCCTGCGAGCACACACGTTAAAGGCCCTCAGTGGGTCGAAAAAAATACGAAAAATTGAAACTCACCGGCGACGGGGCTCTTCGGTGCGGCGGGGCTCTCCGGTGCGGCGGCTCCTCCGGCGAACGTTGCAGTTGGGTGTTTCACTTTGGTCAACTTGTAGAGAGAAAAATGATGATCACAACGGTAGAAAAATTACACAAAACGAGAATCAGGAAGGGCCTCATTGAAGGCGGTTTGTGAAATTCCCTGCAGAGGCGGTACCGGGCTTCAGTGGTGTTTTCCGGCCAATTGGCCAGTTATTTCACTCCTATTTGGTCATGGGTGGGTTTAAAATTAAATTTCGTGCAAAAGAAATTTTTTTTAACTTTTTTTGGCAGTCGAAAAAGGTTCTGGTGCGGATGGAGTTATTTATACCAATCCACTTTTGATCTGGACCGTCTATCGCTTTTGATTTGAACCGTCCGATCACGATTAAATAGAGAATGAATTTGGACCGTTCATCGCAATTTAATCTGGGCTGTCCGTGCTCGCCGGACCTCAGACGTTCGATCGTGCGCACGTAGATTGCCCATGTGGCTCCCCCCTGTGTGGCCTCCCGCGTCAGCGCTTCTGCCACTAGGTGCGTCCTGGTTGGTCGGGGCTGCTGACCGGGCGTCTGACGTGGCGCAATTTTTTTAAATTGCGTTTTGATCATTAATTTCTAATTTTTCTTTTAAAAATACTTACAGAATCTAAATTTTTACTTTTTTTTTTCAAAATTAATTTAAATTTAATTCTTAACAAATTTTTACCTATTTTTTTATTAAATTAAAATAAAATTAAATAAATAATTATATTTAAAAAAATAAAAAAAAATAAAAAAATAAAAAAAAAATGTTGGGTGGTACAGCCTCCCACTACTTGACAGAAACGTTAATGAGGACAAAAAGCAACGTCCGCCCCGCTTCAGTTAAAGTGACCTTTTTTTCCATGGCAAAAAAAACATGGAATTTATTGTGTGCAATATATATATATAATATAATATATCTACATATATGTAGATGTGAGTGTGACCCAACAAATCCTTCCCTTTCTTTGGGTCATGGAATTAATTAATCGAAATGAACTATCAATGGTGAATGTACAATTATCAATATATGATGGGAAATATATATATATATATAATATAATATATCTACATATATGTAGATGTGAGTGTGACCCAACAAATCCTTCCCTTTCTTTGGGTCATGGAATTAATTAATCGAAATGAACTATCAATGGTGAATGTACAATTATCAATATATGATGGGAAATATATATATATATAATATAATATATCTACATATATGTAGATGTGAGTGTGACCCAACAAATCCTTCCCTTTCTTTGGGTCATGGAATTAATTAATCGAAATGAACTATCAATGGTGAATGTACAATTATCAATATATGATGGGAAATATATACATATATAAATATTTGTATATGTTTTTATGGCTAAGTCTGAATTAGTTTAGCTTTCGATTTTAAATTTATTGAACTTTTCAAGCCAAAACAAAAGACAAATAAATATTGATATTAATCACACTACCTTAATCTTCAAAAACACTTCTTTTTCCAGCACTACCAAATGAATCCTGGACACTCTTCATTAGAATATGAAAGCACTTTTTGACTATATATATATATTATTATATATATATATACACACACACCCATGTCATGTCTGCTGAATTTGTTGCAGGAGAACTCAATTTAAAATTCTTGTTTGAATTTTTTTAAATTTTTTAATTGATATAAAACTGCGAAAATTCTTTCTTTTTTTTTTCAACTAAAGTTGTTACGGTACCGCATTTTAGTTCAATTATCTTATTATCAAGAAGTGTTAAAATTTTTTTACTATCAGACAAAATACAGCACTGTAACTATATATTACAATTCACAAATAAGAGGCGGCAAAGTGGTGGGTGAATAGTACAGTGATATATATAGATATAATTCCTCTATACGTATATATGTATGTATAGACGTAATATTTTTCTGTAGAAATAGACCGACCATACGGAGTGATGATGATAAGAGTAATTTACCAAACAGAAGAGGCATTAATTAGAAAGAGCATTTCTTTTTCCTTTCTGGTTCCGTGAATTATATATAGATATACATAGATATATAGATATATGAGTGTCAGTAGGGTTTGATAAGATTGAAAATGAAAAGCAGTGGGAAATGGGGGAAGGTGGTGTCTGGAAGAGATGAAGAAGGTGATTCGCATAGCAGCTCCCATGGTGGGTTTCTTGTTGTTGATGAGTGTTTCGCCTGTAATTTCAGTCATGATGGTCGGCCATCTCGACGAGCTTTCCCTCTCCGGAGCCTCCATTGCCACTTCCTTCGCCAATGTCTCCGGCTTCGCTTTTCTGGTAATTTCTCTCTTAGTTTCCTCTTTAATTTCATTCTCTTCTTCTCCTTTCACTCACCTCATATATACATAGGTGCATATGCGTGTCTTTATCTATGTCCTCGTGTCGTTCTTCGTGCATATATGTTTTTTTTATTCTAAGTAATTTGAGCTCTAAGCATTTGTGAAGTGAATTCAACTGTCCTAAAATATTTTTTCTATAAAAAATTATAATAAGTTTATAAAGATTAAGCTCATTTCGATCGTCGTAATCTCATTAATACACTAATAAATTAGGTTATTAAAATATTATATTATATATCATATATAGGTATCACATTTCTCGTTTCACACAATTTTTTGATCATCATGTTCACTGTTCTTTTTTGGTTCAAGTTAGCCGAAGAGGAACCCCAGCCGCGAAGGAGGACTAGTGGAGCTGCTGCATCCGAAGACCCTCTCGCCTATAGGTTTCGATTTTTTGACTTTTCTAACCAATTGAGACTCCTTAACGTATTTTTTCATAGGGATACATGCAAAATCGGCAAGGCCGAGGTGAACCAATGCTGTGAGCAGCAGAGCTGGTGCCAGAGCACTGCGGTGCCGCCGTGCAAGAACCCTAAAATTTGCCGGAAAGGATTTTTAACACTGATTTTGGCATTTTAGGATATTTTTGAATACGTGACGAATATTTTAATTTTTGCAGGAAAAATTCAAGAAACCATGGGACCGTCAGGAGGCGTAGTAGATAGCACAGTATTTCAGACACCGATCTGAATAAGGATCACTCACCTTATTCCCTATTATGATAAATTGAGACTTAAATAATTGATAATCTTGTGTTTTGTGAAAATTAAAAAAATCTTAAAAATAATTATAGGTCACTAGTGTAGTCAAACCAGTAAGTTTATATTTACCCTAATTCACTGTTTATTTTTTCATATTACCTAAATTACTTACTGTTATATTATGCGTACTAAATTAATAGTTTTGATCATTTTCTTGGTTGTTTGATTTACTTTATTGCACATTTTTTTTTAGTTTGCCCTACTGTTCTTAATGTACGTATCACCTATTTACATGATTTATTATTAATTTAAAAACATAAGATATTAGCACATAACTAGTAATCAGTTTGTGGTGCGATACCATGTAAGAAAGACTTATTGGATACTATAGAAAAAGATGGATAGATCTGGTACATAGGGAACCCTATTGTGGACATTACATCAGTTGAATGTGACTGAGAAGTCCTATATCGGAAGACTTTGAGAGATATGATTCACTTTTATATTAGACGGGCTATCGAGGTAATGATATCTTTGGTGCCCATCATCGGACGAGATATAAGAACGATTGGGTTAATTGATAAATTTAGATATTGGGTTCACGAGTAGGAAAATATCCATATGGATCTCCAATGGTTCCAGTAAGCAAGTAAAAAAAGAGAATTGCTAATCGCGTTCATTTATATGTAAAGTCATAATGTTATATGAGTATTTGCTGTATTAGATTGATTTTGGTAAACTAGTGATGGTAAGTATGGAATAAACGTTTTAATATTAAATGAATTTACTTAAAGTAAGGACTCTATTAGTTATTTTGTTATTTTTAACAACCTTCGCTTTCTCGTATAAGTGACTAGTGTGATATTCTTACTGGATTAGTGTAGCTCGCCCTTCTATAACCATTTCAAATCAAGAAGATCAAAATTCAGATCCTGATCAGAAAGAGAGTTATGAGTAGTTTACCTCCCGGACCCCATTAAGTGCTAGTGGAGGTTAACCCCCATGGACATTTATTTATTTATTTTCAATTATTGATTTGCCATTTTTTTTACAAACCGCTGTAGAAGGACATTCTAGTAACTCTATTGGACATTCTAATTTACTGTGTAAGAAATGTGAACTCTAACTTTATAGTTTGCTTCCCCATTTAAAATATAAATTCATTTTCTTTAAGTTCCGGGTCTTTACATATGAAGCTAAATATACCAACTTAGTTGTATTTTCAAAAATTTACGTATGTGTATATATATTTTTACTTTTTTAAGAAGTCATATATATGGGTAATAATTGATTACGTAGCTTAGCCACATAATATGTTAGGCAATAGCTTTTTAATTAATAAAGCAAGCATGCATCATATGGTTAGAATCTTCTTCTTCTACTTATGATTCATCCTACCATTAAAAATCAAATATTTTAACCCAGTAATTAATTGGATCATTTTATACGTTTTCCTATAATTATTTTGGCTAATTATTAAATTAATCATTAAAATTTGAGACTTTTTGTATTTTAGTATTAATATTTTTTTATTACAATTTGTTCATTAGCATTTTATACTTATTTCAAACATCTAATTTCCATCAATGTCTTAACAGAAATATAAAATAATTAGTTTATATCTAATACCTGGGTCTGAAATTTTGCTCAGGATCAATTTCGATATTTTAGAAATAAATAAAAAATTAATTATAAATTAATTTTATTAAATTATTAAAAAAATAGGTAGGGATGTAATTAAAAGCAGTTGTGAAAAAAAAAAGAGATAAAATTTGAATTCAAAAAGTAGTTTTGAAAAAAAATTAAAACAAGGGATCAAAGTGCAAATAGAAAAAGTTCAGCCACATAAGACCACCCAGTCGGCAGCCCTGACGAACTGAAGCATGCCGCGTGGCAAGGCACGGTGATGTCGGTGCCATGCAGCAGACCATATGGGCGATCTGCGTGCCCCGCGATCGAATGACCTAGAACAAAATTTATTTCTCCCTTAAGTGTGATCGGACGATCGAGATCAATCAAGATCAGACGGACGAAATCAATCGCGATGAACGACCCAGATCGATGTAAAATGGGTATAAATACTTCGCGTGACACGGGAACCCAAACCCTAGCCACCAGCCTTCGTCGGAGAAGAAGAACCAGACATCGAAGAAGGAGACCAACCGCCGCCGCACCAGATCCACTGCCGGCATCCAAAAAAGGTAAAAAGTTTCTTTACCTGCTCGGAATTCGATTCTGAACAACCCTATGATCAAATCAGAGTAAGAGAAATGGCGGGTGAGCCAGAAACTGCGGGCAAAGCCTGACGGAGCGGTCGCAGCCAAAACCCTAAAATTCCTTCGATGATCCCCTTCCCAATTTTCATTTGACATAATTTTTTAATCATTATGTTCACCGTCCTTTTCTGTGCAGGTTAGTCGAAGAAGGAACCCCAACCATGAAGGAGGACTGGCGGAGCCGCTGCACCCAGTGACCCCCCCTCCCCCCGCCGGTAAGTTTTGTGTTTTTGGTAATTTTTCGGCCAATTGATGCCCTCTAACGTGTTTTCCAGCAGGAATACATGTAAAGCTGTCCAAAACCGTCCAAAATCAGCTTGGCCAAGGTGGACTACCATGGGCAGCAGAGCCGGCACTGGAGCACGGCGATGCTGCCGTGTCGGAACCCCAACATTGGTCGAAAAGAGTTTTGGACACCGATTTTAGATTTTTATATAGTTTTAGGTACGTGACGAGTGTTTTGAATTTCGCAGGAAAAATTTAGGAAACTTGGTACCTATTAGAAGGTGTGGTAGAAAGTGCGATATCTCGAAACACTGATCCGAGTGAGGTTTAACGATATATAATTTCGTATTTTTATAAAAAATTAAAAAATTCTAAAAATAATTACAGATTACTAATAGTGCCGGAACTGGTTAGTTCACAATTATCTTGATTTCCTGATTATTTTCTTATATTGTCCTACTTGCTTAATTTTCGTATAGTACATGTTCTTAATTTATAGATTCAATAGTCTTATCGATTTATCTGGTTTTTTTGGTTATATACCGTCAGTGTGAATGCAATTTAATTGATATGTAAATATAATATGAGATATTGGTATGTATTTGTTGGTTGTTGTTGACGAAAATCTATATGTAAAAGACTTACTGGGTACTTAGAGAAATGGCGGACGGATCTGGTATATAAGGAACCCTACCGTGAACGTTATCTCAGTTGGACGAGACTGAAAAATCCTTTACCAGAAAATTTTGAGAGATATGGTTCACTCTCATATCGGACGGGGTATCGAAGCGATGACATGTTTGGCACGCATTATCAGACGTGGTATGGGGACGGCCGGTTAATTTTAAAATTGGACATTGGGTTAATGAGTAAGGGGTACATCCTATGGACCCCCAGGGGTACTACTAACAGCTAAGAAAAGAAAGTTATTATCTCTTATTATCTTATGCGTGAAAGTGAAAAGTGGTTTGGATATAGATCTTCATAGGTTATTTTTTGAAAACTCGTTACAGTAAGAATCAAACAAACATCTTCAAGTTTAAAGGTATTTAAATAAAGTAAGGGCTCTATTAGTTATTTTTTTTTTATTTTTACCAATCTTCAAATTTTTATATCTGTAATTAGTATGATATTCTTACTGGGCTAGTGTAGCTCACCATTTCATTAACTATTTTAGATCAAGAGGACTAGGATCCACATCTCGATCAGTAAGAGAGTTGTGAGTAGTTCACCACTTGGACTTTCTTCAAGTGCTAGTGAAGGTTGCCCTAGGGTATTTTTGTATTCGCTATTCTTTTTATTTTTTTAATTACTGGTTATCTTTTAGAATGGATATTCTCATAGCTCCATTGGACATTCTAAATTATTGTGTAAGGAATGTAAACTTTAACTCTATCAATCGCTTTTGCATTTAATTTTTTGAATTTATTTTTCTTTAAGGTTTTAGGCCTTTACAATTGGTATCAGAGTCACGTTCTTCAAAACTATTCCTTACACAAAACTTAAATGTATCACTAGAAAGACTTGATTCTGTGTTGTTTGTGTATACTCTTGAAAATAGAACACTACTAGGGGAGGTTATATACAAAGCTTGTATCATAGACATAACAGATAGGAAATTTAGTATGGGCCTGATAGAGATTGACACGAGAGACGTTGATGTAATCTTAGGAATAAACTGGTTAGCGGTGTACTGCACCACCGTAGATTATTTCCACAAGAAACTTATATTTAACTCTCTTAACAAAGAGTCATTTATAAGTTAATGAAAATTTTAAATGTTATTTTCTCATGAAAATTTTCTTATTACATAGTGCTTAACTCGGTTGTCTTCTCTACATTAGGCAAATCTAATAAAGAAGTTTACATTTAAAAGATCTTGATAGTCTGAGACTTCTCAAATGTATTTTCTGATAAACTATCCGGGCTGCCAGTGGACAGGAAAGTTGACTTCATCATAGATCTTCAGTCTGACACCCAGCCTATTTCGGTTGCCCCTTATCGCATGAGCCGCATTGAGATGGAAGAATTAAGAAAACAAATCAATGAATTGCAGGACAGTGAGTTCATCTAACATAGTGTATCTCATTGGGGTGCTGGAGTCACATTTGTAAGAAAAAGAGATGGGACGTTATGATTGTGTATTGACTATAGTGGATTGCATAGAGTCATGATCAAGAACAAGTACCCCTTTCCCAGAATTGATAACCTTTTTGACTTGTTGTAGGGTGCTCAAATCTTCTCCAAAATAGATTTGTGTTCGGGTTACCACCAGGTAAAGATCAGGACAGAAGATATTCTGAAGACAGCTTTCAGAACTAGGTATGGATATTATGAGTTCTTGGTCATGCCATTTGGACTAACCAACGCACCAACCATTTTTATGGACTTGATAAATATGATTTTTAAACAATTCCTAGATCAGTTTATCATTGTGTTTATCGATGATATCCTGATCTATTCAAAGAGCAGAGAGGAACACGCTCACCACCTAACTCAGGTTTTGCAAGTTCTCAGGAAAAAGAAATTGTATGAAAAATTTAGCAAGTGTGGGTTCTAGCTCAAGTAAACTACCTTTCTAGGACACATCATAAGGATGGAGTGTCAGTAGATCCCGAAAAAATTGAAGCACTGCTTGATTGGGAGAAATTGACCTCGGTCAAAGATATTTGTAGCTTTTCTGAGAATGACAGGTTATTACCGCACGTTTGTAGAAGGATTTTCCAACCTAGCCGCTCATTTGACTTGGCTCACAAAGAAGAATGTTAAGTTTAAATGGAACGAGAATTGCAAAAGGAGCTTTACAGAACTCAAGAAACGGTTACCTACTGCACTTGTGTTGGCTTTACTGAGTGGGACAGGTGGATATAGAGTGTACAATGATATCTTCTATGTGAGTTTGAGTTGTGTTCTGATGCAGCATGGAAAAGGTATAGCCTATGGGTCCAAGCAGTTGAAGAGTCGTGAAAAGAATTATCCCACCCATTACTTAGAACTCACCGTTATTATCCACGTCTTAAAAACCTGGCGACACTACTTGTATGGGGAGATTTTTAAGATTTATACTGATCATACGAGCTCAAAGTACATATTCACTCAAAAGAGTCTCAACATGCGTCAGAGGCATTGGATAGAGCTTCTCAAGGACTACGATTGTAATATTTTATATCACCCGGGTAAGGACAATGTAATATCCGACGCGCTAAGTAGAAAAAGTACATGTATGTTAGCGCACCTATTAGTCCCTTAACGCAGGGTAATAAGGGTTGCACAACAGATACGGTTTCAGAACTTGAAGAGAGTTACATTCTTGGCCCACCTGACTGTCCAATCTGAATTGATCTAGAGAATAAAAGAAGTCCAATTAACTGATTCCACCATAGCCACCCTTAAAGAAGATGCAGAACAGGCAGCACATCCAAAATTTTGAGTCTCTACTGATGGGTTACTCACGTTTAAGGACAAGATATGTGTTCCAGATGACAATGAGTTAAAAAAGGACATTATGACAGAGACTCATAGCTCAAAGTTTTCCATACACCTCACAAGTACTAAAATATATGAAAGCATGAGACTTCAGTTTTGGTGGAGT